AGATGCTGCTCTCTCCAAGACGTTTCTCTCGCTGGAACAAGCTCCTGCTTCCCAGAATAAACCTCTCCTTTCTTTGCTTCGGGCATCAGTCCTTGTCCATCCCTCTTTGGAGACCACAAAGAGTTTCCCTCTTCAATTCCTACCGCCGCGCTGGAGTTATTTATATGCCCCAGCGCTGTTTTTCTAGGTGATAGGGTCCCCCTTGGTCTCTGCACGTGCGCCTAACTTTGTAGTTTCTTTGCTTTCTTATTTTTTAATGTTTCTTTTTATCTCCCAAGTACTGAGCAATTGACCCCATGCACCCTGGCTTCCTGCAACACTCGCCTTCCCTGCGGGAATGCTGCAAACTGGCTTCCAAGCTCACATCAGTTGTGTTCACCCCAGAATCATGGACATTTCCCCCCAAAAACAGCAAAACTGCTCAAAAAGAGCTATGTGCAATAAAAAGAATTGGAGGAGAGACCAGGGGGACAGAGGGAACACTTGTGGATTCATAATCTTCTTCCATGTGGTGGCATTTCACTGAATGCAGCAATTTAGGTTTCTTTCTCCACGTTTTGAAGGGCTGAATTTTTCACTGATCCATTCGAGTGTGAGCTATGAAACTCCCAGTTAGATGGAAAAGCAAAGTTATTAAAACCAGTTCAGTGACTCGTGACCTTTTCATGAAATGTTTATATTGATATTCTTCCAAAAACACTCGCTGCAAGAACAAACTGAAATGCTTAAAGGAAAAATCATCTTGCCACAAAATATACAAATCTGGGTGAAAAAGACTTTTTTTCTTTTTTTTTTTCAAGTTTTCAAGTTCAAGTTTGGTGTGCTTAGATGGTCCTTCCCGCAGATCAAAGCTCATTGTATTTATCCTTTTGCTCAAGGATATTGGCAACAACACTGAACTTCACTTCCTTCGTACATGATAATTTAGCGGCGAAATTAGATTAAACTTATTTTTAAAAAGGAAAACAATAAAAGCATTAATAAAAAAATAAAACCCAGGCACAAGCCAGTGCCTCAGCTGGTGTTAATTGGCAGCTCTCCAAAATGCAGCAGAGCAAGCCAGTTTTTCCAAGCGCTGGATCTGAGGACCCTGGATTCTGCCTAAATTCTGCCATCCCTGGGGTATTTTTTTCTCGCCCTTTGTTTTCTCTTCCTTTCCCAGGCCCCTGTGATCTATTGTATTTCTGCATTATAAACATCTGATATTAGTCACCGTCTTGCCAATGTGAGTAATGTTTTGAGCTGTGCCCTGCTGGCAGCATTTGCTTCGATAGGGAGAAAGGAGCAAAGTCACCAGACTTCATCCTATCAAGCATCGATATCAATTCATTTCTCATCATCCTCTCTTGTCTTTAAGTGAAAATCAGGCATTATTTCAAGCTTTGGCTCTCTGCTAACTGCCATCCATAGCTACTGCCATCACTAAAAACTTGGCATAAGTGCAGGAAAGACAGGACTGAGCCAAGTTATCTCAAATCCAAATGTGTCCCTCTATCCACAGCTCAGGTCTCCCTGGGACAGGGGCTGAGATGGCACTTTGAGGTGGCAGTTCTGCTTGGGCTTCCAGTGCAGGGGTTGTTTAAGAGAAGCCTATGGAAAAATGTGCAAACACACTTGTATTTCCTTAAAATAGAGAGGGATATGTGTATGGTGCCTATGTGCAGAGGGAAAATCTGTATGGAGAGAGCCAGGTCAGTGTAGTTCCAAGAGCAGCATGCTTAAAAGGGCTTGCTCTGCAAGCACCAGCAGACAAGGGAATGTGTATATGGTCACTGAAGGCACGGATTTTTGGCTAGTATATGGAGTACGTTTTGGAAAAATACCTAGTAGCTGAGACAATTGAGGTTTTCTTTCAGAAATGGCTGTAGTTTTCTTTAGAAAATGGGAACAAATCCCTTATGCAACTTTTCCACCTACCTGGAAAAAAAAAAGGGGTGTTCTATCCTCAATGCCTGTTGAAAGCAAAGGCACCTCCCAGGCTGTGGCTTTTAAAGAAAAGTGTCTAAATTAAAATAGGATCATGTCACCTTGCTGCAGGGTCTTTGAAACCTGGAGTATCTCACACAATGCACCCGTCCATCCGGGCTCCAAGCTGGATTTGCGACAGACTGGTTGGATTGGGATTGGGCTCCTTCCAAGCTCCTTCCGAGCTGGTTCTGCTCGTATGAGATGGGAGAAGACAGGGAGATTTGGAGATTTTCATGGGGGTAAGCTCCAGGGAGCGCGCATGCTCTCTGGGAATGCATGGGAATTCTGTAATACCCTCTATGTTTATGCTGGTAAAATAGACTATGTATGGAAACTTGTTATGCATTATAAAAAAAAAAAGTAAAAATATCTATCAAAGATGGGCATATGTTATCTCACCAATTAAAAAAGAAGGACTTTTTTAATATTATTTTGACATGAATTACTGACATGGTTCTGCATGCTCTTGTTTCCTTAATACCCTTCTGTGTTTTTCTGCCCCAGAGCAGGTAAAGAAAGATTTTAGCAGGGATTTGGAAGTTCTGCTGCAAAAGGCCCTTGATATCCCCAAGGAGAGTTGTGTCTGGACTGTGATGTCTCTCCAAATAGACCAAAGATGGGAGTTGCCAAGGACCAAGAGCAGCAAGTGATGCCAGGTAAGTGTGAAGAGCACAGACAACTTGGACTTGGTCAGGAGATGCTGGAGAGGAGACACTTTGCAGGGGCAGGTAGAACACGGGAAGGTTATGGGATGTTCCCATAGGAATTTGGTAGCTGTAGGTGGCTGGATGTGGAAGGAGGATGGTGGCCAAGCTGTAGCAAGGAAGAAGGTTGTATGTTGTGGGATGGCTGGGATGGTGCCAAGAGAGATATCTGTTGGCATTCCAAAGTTCCCATCTCAGAAGGATGGATGTCATTGGAGCAGCATGTGTGTATGGTGGGAAGTCTGAAGATGGATCAGTGATGGAGCCAGGGAGAGGATGCTTTGGTTTCTCTGGGTAACCAAAGCATCCAGTCCACTGCTGATTGAAAGTCTGTGAAAATCTCCTTAGTTTAGACTCTGGACTCACGGTCTGATTCTAATGTGACAATATAGGGCTGAAAAAGGCCTTTTGTGACAGTTTCTCCAAGCAGGTCCTATCTTAATGGGCAGAGATAATGGTCATTGAGAGAGGCAAAGTGTTGCCAGTCGTGGGAATAGTTAGATGTTCACGAGCACGGACTAACCCAATCTCTCCTCCATGTCATATAAGCAAGGCCCTGTGCAGAATGCCTTATGTCCTTGTAATTTGAAGTCGATCCTCCCACCTTGGCTAAGGGGAATGTGGTTCTCCTCCTCCTGGGCTTTCTGGAGGGAGAAAGTAGATTGAGTTGGGCCTATCTCAGGAGGGACTGCTCGGAGCGCTGGATTTTCTGTGGAAATCTGGGAGTGATGCTAGTCGATGCTGCACTACATGGATTCAGTTGGGACCATGTGCAAGGAAAATTCATGAACTTGGTTTATTTAGTTGAGAGAACCCGCAGCTGTGAGAACGACGTCTACTCTTATGTGATGTAGCAGGGAAGATAAAGAGGTTTCATTTGAAGGCAGTAATCTCAAAATGGAGAGGGCTGAACTGTGTGAGATCTCACCAGGAGCAGGGTCTCAACCTATAACACCCTCTGTATATGCAATAGCTGGAGAACAGCAACGGGCAAAGAAGCCAAACCACTTCTAAGAGGGAGCCTAGTGCCTTCTGGAAGGGATTTATGAAACAGGCCCTGAAAAAACATGGGGGTGAACTCAATTCACTCAATTCCCACAAGTTTTGCCTTGCCTCACGGGTCCTATGGATGTTGCTTTTCTTTCTCCATGGTGGCCTCAACTCAATCCGTGACCTCACCAGCGTCTCTGTGATCCCCCAGGGACTGCAGAATTCAAATTCTCTTCCTGGCTGTGTGCTTTAACCATTAGACTTAACATTTTTCGCATTGTCCTCTCCTCCTTCCTCCGTGAATGCCAACAGAAGCAGCCACCACTGCTATGCCTGGTGCTGGTAGGAGCAGGCAAGACCTTGGCATTGCAGCAAGAGGTATAAGGTGCCCCTGGAACATCCACATTAGGCTATCAGTGGCTGTTGGCAGGTCCCAGTGCTCCTGGGGACGCTCAGACCAAGTGTCTAAGGAGCTGAGATCCCAAACACTGACCGGCTCCAGGTCTTTGCTATTTGGTAGACCTCTTTTGTGGCCATTGTGAATCACTCCCTAAAAGTCAGGATCTAAATTCTGCTCAAACCCCAGTCTGAATTTTGCTTTGGTTCCTCAGTCAGTTAGTCCCTGATTTTCTAAGGTGATGACCAACTCATCCCTTTGTGCATCAGTGTGTATCACTGCTTTATCTCTTCCTTTGGATTCAGGGAATGCCCTCTGTTGCTCCCTGAAACATCCATTCCTCCATATTTCTTGAATCTGTCACGTATAAAGGGCTTCTCCTCCAAACTGGACAAACAAATATTTCTGGGCAGGGTCTACTGGGCTTAAAAAAAAATAATTAAAAAAAAAGTGGCCATGAAGGCCATGGCTGGTGCTCGCATTAGCATAGGCAATGTCCCCTGACGTCCGGGCAGCAGGCAGGAGCATCTGTGCCGGAGGGCTTGGGGAAGTTGGTGGAGGAGGGAGGGAGGAAATCTGGAACCCATAAGCTCCACTGATGTTTGCGTTACCTTGCACTGCTGCATTGGTCTGCGCCTGGTCCGCCCCCAGCCCTCCTCACCCTATCAGCAAGAGCCGTTCCCCAAAGTTATTCAAACGCCCTCCTCTCCGAAGCCCAAAGGAAAATCCAACTGAGCTCCTTGGAGCTTGGGAGGACTCCGCGGGGCTGGAGAAGTTTGGAAAGGCTGAACGGTGGACGATCCGGGCTGCATTTCCCCAGCGGGCGCCGTCCGCTCTTCATCCCACCTTGCGGATGTGCCGCGGCCCTTGTATCTCCTGAGACCCAAGAACTCTTCTTCTGCGAGGTGGAAGAGGTTCCTGGGGTGCAGGTGGTTGCTGCTGAGAAGATGAAAGAAGAAAACATGTGCCCGGATTCCCCCGAAGGCAGCCTGGTCACCAGCGAGGAGGAGGGCGAGCGGCTGCACAAGAAATGCCTCCGCAAGCGCGGCCAGGTGGGCAAATCCATGGAGGACTCCAGCGCCCCGTCCCCTCAGGGCAAGCGGAGCAAGCGGAGCCCCGTCCCGCAGTCCTTCGAGGACGTGCACACGCAGCGGGTGATCGCCAACGTGCGGGAGAGGCAGCGGACGCAGTCGCTCAACGACGCCTTCGCGGAACTGCGCAAGATCATCCCGACGCTGCCCTCCGACAAGCTGAGCAAGATCCAAACGCTCAAGTTGGCTGCTCGCTACATAGACTTCTTGTACCAGGTGCTGCAGAGCGACGAGCTGGACCACAAGATCACCAGCTGCAACTACCTGGCGCACGAGAGGCTCAGCTATGCCTTCTCCGTCTGGAGGATGGAAGGGGCTTGGTCCATGTCAGCATCTCACTGAGCCAGGGTATGTATCGCCACCAAGGCGCACGGCCCTCCTGCATCTCCGCAAACCTCCCCGGCTGCTCCCGGAGTTTCTCCGGGGGAAACACACGGCAGCCCCTCCTTATGTTCCACATGCAAATGATTTGATTTAACGAAGCCCAGACGCTGTCAAGGGCAGCGTTCGGACGAGGTGGCCGCTTCCCCGGCCGGCCCCGCTGCCTTCCTTCCCAAACCGCCGCTGCGCTTAGCGGGATGCTGCAGAGCCCTAAAGCCACTGATCTCATTTAGCGGGGTCTGCTGCGGGGCAGGCTAGTGAAAGGTTTAAAACCAGGGTTTAAAGGTATGATTTATCCCCCCGAGGTAGCTCCGGAGGGGCATAAATCAGGATACACCTTCCTGAATGTGCCGGGCTTGCGGAGGTGTCAAAGCCGGACCCGGTCCTGCAGCGATCGCCCGGCTGCTGCGGTGGCTCCTGATGTGCCAAGAGCCTCGTCTCACCCGGGTGAAGCTCTGCAGAAATTCCCTTAGGTCTTTGCCTTCCCCTGGGGTCTCCAGCCCATCGAGCTTTCTCCTCGTCCTCTCCTATGGATAAGACAGGAGCTGTAATCCCTCCCGACCCATCAATATCCTCTGCTGCCATAAATGCAGGGAATAAAACATCCAGTGAGGTTGCTGGGGCAGTGAGTTTTGCCAGTGTATTCCACTGTGCCCAGTTGTTTAATGTGCTCAGCCCCATCCAACAATTATCCAAGCGGCCTTTCACACACTGAAAGGAGAGAACATCACTATTTTTGGTATTTTAGCTATTGGTGCCTGGGGGCTGGGAAGAAAAAACAGGAGAAAATAGAAGATGGCAAGAGCAAAGCTCATTCCCTCTTCAGCTATGAGCTAAAATTTGCTGGAGGGCCTGGTGAGAAGCAGCAAACTTCCAAGGACATCCCAGGGTATGGTCCATGGGAAGCTCCGATGAGGCCTGCAGACACCCAAATTGTGGCACCATGTGGGTAACCCCAACCCTTGCCCTTCCCAGCGGTGGGTACGGGTGGTCTGTCACCATATGGGTAAACTTAGTCCTGCTCTTAGCCCTTTTTTAATAGAGGTTTCATGGAGCTGTTGAGACACTGGATGCCCTCATCCTCTGCTGTCCTGGCTGTTTCTTCCCAGCTTTGTGGCAGGTCCAGCTCATCCAAGGCTCCCTCGGGTTAATTCCCACGGCATCCCGTTGGATCCCATGAGACAGTCCAGCATCCCATTGCCCATGAGACAAGATCAGGCCTTTCCTTGGGAACAGCATAGTTAATCCTTGTCTGGTGTCATTTAGATGCTGCAACTGGCTGGGCATTAGAGATTGCCAACTACAAAAAGGGCTACATTATTTTTCTTGCATCCACCACCATTGGCCACACTTGAATATCATGGAAACACAGAAGACACTTTTCTTCTTATTTTCTGCCATCATTTGGGGCCAGTCTTGCCCACTCTCCTTATGTGCCCATTTCTCCTCTTGGCTGTTCTTATCAAAATCATTTTTCAGGGCAGAGAAATCAGCAGAGATGGGCCGCAAAGTTGTGATTTAACTCAGAGCTATGGCCACAACAGTAGGGTTAGCCCAGGTGAGGTGATTGAAGTGATATTATGGCCCTTTTTTAAGTCATTGCAATGAATTATGGCCCTTTTTTTAAGTCATTGCAATGCACAGTCTGTAAGGAAGGAGAAAGGCTCCCCTCACCTTTAGGATATCTCCGAAGGAAATCCTATTCCAAAAAATTCTGCTTTCCACCCTGGTTTCACATTTCAAAAGGACAGAGGGAAGGGAAAGGGAGAAAATGGCACTTTCTGAAACAAATAAATTGCCTTGAATTGCTGAAAGCTGGCACGGATGTAGCAGTGGATGCGTTTGCTGCCATTGCATGAGCCTTTCGTGCGTTGTCGCTTAATAGCTTTAAATTGCAGGCCAGAATTGCAGATGTAGGGGCAGACAGGCAAGCAAAGATGTTGAATATGCTTAATGGTATTTAATTTAAGGATATGACACTTTTAAATGCCTGTTTTTCTGCAAACATTGCTAAGATGTTTTCTATTTGGTGCAAAAACTCAGGCCCCCCAAATCGCCTGCCGCTTTTCAGAAATGCCATCTCAATATCAATTATTTGGCTGCTAAAATGTGCTTGCTTAAAACCCCACTGCCTCCTGGATTTTCCCTTTTTGTCTTAGGACGTTGATGCTGAAGGGTTATATGCCAGTGATAGTGCACAACTAGAGGCATTTTCACCTTAGCTGGGATTTTTGGATCAAACACCTTCCCTCTCCATCTCCCCCAAATCCGTGGCTGTTTTCCACTGCCGGATGATGGATTTTCAGCATCTTACAGTCCTGAATCTGCCTATTTACTTGTAGGACTGTCTGTGCTTGGCAGGAAATTTGTTCCCATGATAAATAGAGATATTAGAGACATTTAGCGATCTTCAAGACCTCTCTCTGCACAGTGAAAAGCCTCCTTGTGAAATTCTGCATGTCCTATAAGTGCAGCGCTTTCAATGTGGTTATTATCACCGGTTAATATTCGTCCCTCGTGGTTCTTTAGCTTGCCTTTAGGCAACGCATCCTTCGGCTGAATAGATAATAATCTTTGTGCCAACCTGCAGCAGTATTCAGGTACCAATTAGCAATTCCCAGGGCAGGGGAATAACGGGAGAAGAATTTGCTAAGCAGAGAACAAAAAGAGGGAACTGCCCATGGGAAGCAGAGCTGCAGCTAGAAAGGCCACGTCTCTCTCCCGTAAGTGAATTAACCCAGCGCTTGCAGTGGGACTGTAATTTTATAATGTAAAGCAGCTAATGACTGCCGAGAGTGCAGGCGTCCTGGTCGCCACTGGAACCTGCCCTATTAAATATCAAAGGCTGCTGGAATAGCTGGATGTGGATATGCCCTTGTTAACCAGGAGACATCGTCCAGGGAACGAGGGATTGAGCCCTCGGGCAAGAACAATAATGTTTGAAGTCCACCAAGCTCACGGTTTTCAGCAGTCTTGAGCACATTAAAATGGTTTCTTTTCCTGCTGGAGGAGAAAATGAGGCTGAAACTGCTGGGGGGAAGATCGCTGGTGTTGTAAGGGGTGATATTCTTTGCCCTTCATTTGTCTCCCTGGATTTATTGTCTTTCTTGTGTTGCCCCTGTGTGATTATCCTGAAAGACCTTGGGTAAATCTTCCCTTTGGGGACTGTTGCTCTTGGTTGGAGTCTGCTTTGTTAGGTGGATGTTTCATTTTCTTTTATTTATAACTATGCCTCGTTGCGCAGCGTCGCGGTGCGCAGCATAAAAGGAGCGCCAACATTTCGGAAATGCATTTAAAACAACATCTGTTTCAAAAAAGTCCATGAGATCCGGCTGCATGCCAGCTGGAAAACGCAGTCCTGTTCACTTGAGTGTCTTGCTGGCACTCGGGATCAGTCCTGAGTGGAGAGGGAATGCAGGTAAATGCACCTGATATGGGTCTATATGGCCCAGGTACCAGCCAGGATTGGTTTTGATGCTGTGCTGATCATAGCAAGGTTCAGGAGCAATAGTGCCAGAGGGAAGGACCTCGCTTTCACTTCGGATTTGGAGGTCCCAGAAAGGAAGACAAATTCCTCCAGTCTTGGAAAATCCATTTTTCCTATTCAGACCAAGTGCTTTGTTAATAACAGCCTTCTTAACCCCAGCCTCATCCTCTAGCTGTGCAGGGAAATCAGACTCCAGAGCTGGAATTCCATAAGGTGGTTGGAAATGAGAAGTGTCTTCCCAAGACTGACATTTGCCCCCACAAGTACTGAGGTGGTCTATATGCCATTGCATGTGCAGGATGCCGAATGTTGCATTGGATGGATAGAAAAGGATGCTGAATGTTGCATTGGATGGATAGAAAAGTTGGTGTTTGTGGTGGCTTTGGTGGCCTGGGGGAAAAGAAGCTGCCCTGGGTGTGTGATGTGTCACATCCCCCTGAAATTGCTGGGCTGATCTCACATAAAATTGCAATATCTTGAGCAAATCCTTCCCCTCACTTCAGTGCCCAGTGGGGGCCCTGCAGCCCCTAGTTTGGGCTTGCTTGATCCTTCAAAGGGTCGTAAATAAACCCAGAGCAGTGATCCAAGTGACCCAGTCCAAAGAGAGCAAAGTCTCAAGAGAGGGAGCAACGAGCTGAGCCGTGAGTTGCAGCATTGCTCTTTGCAACCGGGTGAGGAGTGTGGGAGAGATTGGCAAAAACAAAAAAAAAACCCCAAAACCAAGATCTCACAGCAGCAACGTGGCCACCTACGAGCAGCCCAGCAAGCTCCGGACAAGGCGCAGACCAGGGGATGCACCAGGAGCTTCATTTCCCGGGTCCCACCATGGGACAGAGCAGGTGCGGGAGCTCCTGAGCACCCTGTCCTGACATCAGCAAAGTCCTCGGCCCCTTCTGGATGTCACAGCAGGGTGGGTGACCCAAGAGGGTGTTTTTGGTGCTGTGAGTTGGTGCTCGCTCTGTTTAGAGCTTGCATGGGCAGGCAACGCTGCGGGTGCTCGTGCATGCAAGAGCCAAGTGAAGACCTGAGGTCCATGGGCTGCGGTTGCAGAATTGCTGCTCCACCGAGCGGAACCAGCGCTGGATGCAGCTAGGGATGCCAGACCACACATCCTGAGGTGTAGGAATAGGAAGAAAGATTGGCCAGGGATGAAAATAAGAATGCTGATTATTTGATGGATAAAGGATTTTCTGAGGCCAGCCGTTAGATGTTAACAAGGATCTCCTGGTGAAGGTAAAGAGAAATAAGGATCACCTGGGGGAAATCCCAGCCTGAGAAGAGGCTGTGGGGCCTCTAGGTTGTTCCCTGCTCCTTTGTGATCCCACAGTGAGGGCAGCAGAGATCAGGGGACATCTCAGTGGCCGCGTGCAGTAAGAGGTGGCATCACCATCACCTGCAAGAGCTGCCACCAGGAGAGCCGCATCCCTGGAGCATCTCCATGTCCCTTGCCATGGGAGCACCTGGCACAAGACATA